AATAACAAGACTCACAAGAACAACACAAAGCTGAGCCAGTAGAGTTTTAGACAGGATGTTAGCAAAAAATTATTTACCATGAGGATGGTCCAATACTGGAACAGATTTTCTATTGAGGTGGCATTTGTGTAATGCCATTAATAAGATGCTTTAACTTTTGGTTAGCCCTGAAGTGGTCAGGAAGATGGACTTGTTTATCTTTGTAGATTCCTTCCAACTGAATGACTGCACTGTATTGTATTTTACTGCTATATTGTTACTCTATGCTATGCTATTCGCATGGTGTTTACACTTATTATTTCTAAATTCCAATTTGTCATGGATGACCTTGAGATGTAGTTACTGCCATAAATAAATATTTTACATATGTTATTTCATGTTGTGACATAAAAAACACAGAAAATACAACCAGTTTTTTTGAGAAATAGGGGATCCTTTAAAAATCAGTAAAAATATCAATACACAATTTTTTTCTTTTTCTCTCCGGATTTTTGAAGCTAGCTTCTTGAGACAATTTCGCATCAATCTTATCAAGATATAGAAACTTGTATAGCAACCTTCTTTTTAACAGAGTTAATATCAAACCAAATATACTTTGAAAGCCAGTGGACTCACCGCTATTCTCTGTTCTACCATGCTTCATGCAATTGATTTACATGGATCCAAAGGGATATACTAAGTAGGACATTTTGTACCCCCTTGACTTCCTTCATGGATGTTTACTGAGGAAACCATTACAACTTGTGCTGTATCATAATCTATTCTAGAAACTGACTGAAGATTCATCAACAAAGCTAGCTGAAAATTGAGCTTTTCATTAGCTCAGAAGAGCTAATATGGGGTCTTTCATTACAGACTTCTCCTAGTAGTGTGTACTGCTGTGCTAATTTGTCAGTGCTTGTGAATGGAGGGAGTAAGAACAGGCATGACAAAAGTATGCAATATCATCAGCTTTGAGTCTTAGAGCTATCAAATTATATGTTTTTGTCACTACAGATTTCTTCTTAACAACACTTAAAGGAAAATTCAAGTCCTGGTGTCTCCTTATGCTTTACATTACATTTTTCTCGATGATAACTATGTTGTAGTAGTGAAATCATCTTCATAGTCGTGGAGACTTCCTCTCATTTCATGAAAAAAAAAATCAACCCACAGGTAGTATATACAAGTCCTGGTAGGTAATAAAACTTCCAACTCAATATCTCATGTTTTATTGACATAGATACCATCAATATTTATGTTTCGAACTATTAATCAGGTCTATTTTTCTTACTGCTTAAAACAGCTCCCTGCAATGAAGCTACCAAGCCAACAACAGTGTCATCTAAGTTCATCCCGATGACTGAATGGAGATTTTTGGCAAGATATTACTTATTACTGTTAAATTCTCTTGAATTTATTTTAAAGTTTTGAAATGGTTTGTGGTTAGCTGAGATTTTGAACATACCAAGTCCACAAATACCTTCTGATCATCAAATAGCCTACACATTTTCTAATGATGTTTGCTTTCTTTGGACAATACTTTTGGACAATATTTTTAGAGACTAAAATCTACATACAACTATGTGAGTCTCCAGTCTTCATGACCAGAACGTTACAACACAAATTGTATACTCTGAAATAGCAGAAATGTCATTAAATTCTAGCATGGAGTATAAGGTCAACAAATATTTAAATCCTTATAAACATCTCCTTCATTACTTATCTATCTATTCAGAATTAGCTTAAAGCAAGATTTTAACATCCTAATCCTCCAAAATTAGCCATAAACTAGCTCAAAAAATGAACTACCTACAGAAATGATTACATTTAACTCACATGGGGTTAGTTACCTCTCATTTCTGTTTTCAGAGTTCAAATACATGTCTGAGTCAAATATCCCAGTGCTATTTTTGATTAGGTGCTGCAACTCATCTTGTTTAACTGTACGTTTTTTTCTCTTTTAGTTCAGTATCTTCAAGTACTTCAAGTACAGGTGTCTTTTACTTTCTTCTTACTTTAATTTTACCCATACTTTCGTCACTCACATCTGTGATTGAACTGTAATATGGCAACTAGTATGCAGAAATTATAACTTTATTCCCTCACGCTTCTTTGAAGCTCACTGGCTGTGTGCAATATAGATAATAGTTCTGCTACATCTCAGTGTTTTCTTGTCTGTTCTTCACTCCAGATCTTTAAGTTCAAAAGGTATCAATGCATCATTTAAAAACAAGACCAAAAAACACTTGCTGAATTTCCTCTATGGAAACTTGTAACCCAACGTGCAATGGTCAGCTTTCTATGGAATCTGAAGTTCTTCTCAGTTATTTGGTTTGATTTAGAATAATTAATGATGAGAGCTCCAGAGAAGGAAAAGATGTCAAAAATATGGAGTGCTTATAACCGCTGTAGAGCTTTGAGGTACTCCAAAAATCTAACACCCCTGTTACTGAACATTCCCCTAAACCACTTGAGCAAAGAAAAGGGTTTTTTTGTTTTCTTTCTTTAGAAGAGTAAGAACAGTCCTTGCAGTCTCTGTCCCAGAAATAACTTTATCCCTCCTCCTATTTCTCACGCCTTTCCAGAGAGCCAGAATTCTCAAAAAGAACCTTCTGTTTGGTTTCCATTTTCTTTGTTTGTATTTGTCGTTTTTTCTCAGCAGAACAATTCATAATTCTTATGCATCTCCTTGACAGGGTGATTACTTTTTGATTAGCTCTGACAGTCGTGTCAGCCGCATGTATGTGTCTAAGAGACAGCTTCAGCATTCACTTGAGCTAGCCAACAAACCTCTTATTTAAAATTACAACCACTAGACAATTTCATACATGTACCTTTCAATGACTCAGAGATACTTTTTCTTCCTCACAATGTATATCCCTCACCAGATCTTAAACTAGCAGGTTGTATAATGTACTATGTTTCTTGTGACAGAAAATATAGTTGGGTTGTTTCCAAGAATATCATTACCATTTTTAAAACTTATGAATATTTTCAGTATAACACAGAGCACTAATTTATGCAGTAGAAGTCAAGTTTCTGTAAGACCATGTGCTTCAAGGTATTCCATACATGTGTAAGCCTGAAAGATATACAAAGAGAGATGGTTTGGAAATCATGTTTCTTTTTTTTTTTTTTATTAATTATTTTTGTGCTGCTTCAGAATGAATCAGCTGTGACACCACAGGCTGCAAAAATTTCTGAGAATGACAAAAAAAAAAATTCTTTTAGAAGTCAATCAAAAACTGAATTAAATTCAGGAAATTTTATTGTCCCAACATTTCCCTGTATCTTCCTAACTAATTGTCTAATTGCTTTATTTCTTTGTAGGCTCTTCCCAGCCACCCCCTAAGAGTGGCAAGATTCTTGCTAGAGGCTTAAAGAAATGTGAATGTTGTCTGGTGCTAGTTGGCACAGTTGGGCTGTCCTTTAGTTGGAAAGCGGAAGAAGCCTCCACCTGCACCAGCACATCCACCTATACCAGTGATTGGGCTTGGATTTTGATTCTCTCCATCTAAGAGAATCATAGAATCGTATCATAGAATCAGAGAGTCATAGAATCATACCATGGATTGAATTGGAAGAGACCCTAACGTCCACCCGGCCCCAACCCCTGCAGTGGTCAGAGCTGCCATTCACCAAATCAGGCTGCCCATTCAACCTGGCCTTGGGCACCTCTGGGGATGAGGCAAAGAACATTAGAAGTGTTACCATATTTTCACCATAAGCACATAAGCTAAAAATTAGGCCACAGTTAGGAAATAGTTTTTTTTTTTTTTTTTTTTTTAATTACTTAATATATATATAATGAGTACTGATTTCTATCAGTCTGCAATTTTGCTCCTTTAAAAAAGTGTCTCCCTTTTTGTTATTGCTGAAGCCTGTAATTTATATTCTTTTCATAGCAGGAGAGAGATTTGCTCCTTGTTCTGTTTGCACAGGTTAAGTTACTAGAACTGTCAGGAGAAATTCTCACTTTATTTGAAAATAAATGGATATGGGTATCATCTGGCTGAATAAAAAGGAAGTTTGATGATGTTACACGTACTGAAGATATGTAGCATGCCTAGCAAGCTTCTATTCTTGTTGTTTGGTCATTTTACCAAATTTATCATCAAAGGATTCCTGATTCATTAAAAAAGATCATAAGGCTAAGTCCTCTGCGATTGAGCTGGGAGAATGAGGGTTTTTTACACATCTTTCTGGAGCTTCAGTTCAAAACTAAATGGCTATGTGTTGTTTTCAGCTTGGAAAACAAGAAGTATGGCTGCACACACCTTTATAAAAAAGGATGCTGGGGGTGCTCTTGTGATTCTTTGAGTGTTAACAGAATCATTACGGAGTCTGAAGAGTTGTAAGAACCTTGGCCTGGGTACTGGCAGCTCCCAGCCAGCACCTTTCTCCTGGCCACTGAGCACAAAGACTGCAGGCCACCATCTGGACAAAACTGGGTGTGTTTGATATGACACGATGCCTTCCAAGATGCTAAACCCAACGAGCTGAAGAAGCCTTAGATTTCTTCAATAGTTTGTGAGCGCTGGGCAACAACATACGTTCATACAGTTTTAACACACCGCCCAACAGCGCCTAGACTTTCCAACAGACCACCCCCCAGGCCCGGAAGGTATCCTTCGGTTAGAAGTCCACACCGGCATTTTCCTACAGGCACTGCATGCTCCAGAAAGCTTCGGCTCTAGAACCATCCAACCGAGCAGCGCACCGCACGCAAAGCAGCAGCGTGGCGAGGAGGGAACCGGCAGAGCTGTCCCAGCCAGCGGAGCAGACGGGAGGGCACCAAGCCGACTCCCCGTCCTGCCCCCGCCCTCGGCGGCGCCCACCTCCCCTTCCCCGGGCCGTGCCCGCTGCAGTGCAGAGCCTCGGGGCGCGGCGGGCCCGGGGCGGGGCGGGCCGGGGTCTGCAGCGAGCGCGGCACCGCCCCCGGCGGGCAGACGGGCGCGGCGGCGTCACGCGGCGGCACCGCCCCCCGCTCCCGGCGGCCGCCCCCGCCCGCCGCCGCCGCCGCGCACCCGCAGCAGCGCCCGCTCCGTCGGCGAGCGGCAGAGGCAGCTCCGGCCGCGCCTGCCCCGGCCCGCGGCACCCCGCGCAGGTAAGGCGTGTCCGCGGTGCGGGCAGAGCGGCGCCGAGAAGGACGAGCCCCGCTGTGTCGCGGCGGAGGAGGAAGAGGAGAAGGAGGCGCGAGAGGCTGGTGGGTTCGCATGCGGCGTTGTGGGGAGGTAGATGGCGGGGAGCGGAGATGGAGGAGCGGAGGGAGAAGTTAAAGGTTGGATGCGGCGATTCTTCCCGTGCCAAAGCGGGTGGGGGGTGGGATCTGTGTGAGCGGAGGGATGAATCAATGTGCTGCATGTTTTCCCTGGCGGGAGCTGCTCGGGTGCAACGCGAAGCGATGGGGATGCGTATCGCGATGGGATCTCTGTGTGCTGGCGGCGGGCTGGGGTGGGCGAGGGGCTTGTGCAGGAAGTGCATGGGCAATTTGGGACATTTCCTATTGTGAAGCAGAAGAAAGAGGGCAGGCGGCTGCCTCGGTGCGTTCGGAACCGCGCGGGTTCCTGCTGATGGTGTGCATTTTTTGAAGGGGGAGAAATTCTATCACAAGCGTATTAAAATAAATACGTCTGCAGGCTGGAGAGGTAGCAAAATCGATCATTGCGGCCGCCTAGGAAAGAATTTGATTCTAGAAATTACGTGGAAACGGAGGGAAAAGATTAATGATGCCGCTAAGTCTGCTTTTCAATCGGAGCGCTTCTCCCTTTGGCCGCAGCAAGGTTGTTTTCCAGCTCCTTTCTTTTCATCCGGTGATTTGCGAACTCTCCGGGCTTCCCCACACCGGAGACAATGCCGAGCGCTGGGCACAATGAGGATCGTGCCGGGGCGGTGCGTGCCGCGACCTGCCGTTAGCCCGGGATTTATTGACCTCGGGGTGCCTCGCGCTCCCTGCCGCCCGTTTGGAAAGGCTCCATCGGGGCACCTGTGATCAAATCATCATTTTTAAAGGAAAAAAAAAAAAATATATATTTATATGGTTATGGAGAGGTGGGGGAAGGATATTGATGCACTGCTGAGGCACTGAAGGCGCTGCTCTGTTAGTGCTGCTTTGTGTATATTTCTCACTACATGCATGTGCGGACACATACAGTGCCGGGGGGGAGGAGGGGGGAAGAGGGGGTTGGAAGGGGCTGGCAGTTGAGACCCCGGTTGAGTGGTGTATACATGACCAAATCGTCACCTCTAGGAAATGACAGTGTCCTTCTGCTTTGAAGATGAGACCGCGTTGTGTACTGATTGTGTGGATGATATCGTTAGTAATAAATAAGCAATTGTGGCTTTTTTATTACTATTATTTATTTCCTTGGGTCTTGCTTTTATCCTTTTCAATCTTTTCATCTTTCTCCCTTCCCCCCTCCCCCTTTATTTTCTTTCATTATTACTGTTATTATTCGTTTCTTTCTCCCTTTCGTCCTCTCTCTGCCGCTCCGCGGGCGGGGGCCGGGCGTCACCGCAGCCGGCGGCGGGGCGGCTCTCCGGGAGGGATCCCCACTCGGCGGCTCTCCGCGGACACCTGTAGGGATCGCTCTGCACGCTCGGCGGCGCGCGTGCACCCCCACACACACAGACACACACGCGCGTTCTCACGCATCCGTGCACGCGGGCGCGCTCGCTCCTGCCTCGCGGCACCTGCCTGCTCGTGCTTCCCCTGCACACCACGCGCGTTCCCTCCCCACTCATCCCTCACCCTTGGGCCACGCGCCGACGCGCCCACCTGCCGTCTCCTGCCCCGGCCATCCCCAGCTCGGCACACGCACAGCTCCCCGACCCCTTTTCCTCGCCGCAACCTCTCCCTCCCTCCGCCCTACGCTCGCCTTCCCCTCCCGCCCCCGGGGCATCCCTCGTGCTCCCACTCGCGTGCAGCTCCCCCCCCCCTCCAATCCCCCGCCGCTGCGGGGAGCCCCGGGCGCAGGCGGCAGCCGCTTCGCCGCCGCCCCGTCGGGCCGCACAGGGCGGAGCTGTTCGTGGTGCTGAAGCGGTGCCTGCCCGCCCGACAGCGTAGAGGTGCCCCAAAGGCTCCCGTCGGGGGTCGATGTTGCCTACTTCCCTCGACGAGCCATCCCGGGCACCGCGTTTTGTTAGGGGAGGGGGACTGCCGGAAAACTGCTGGCAGCGGCTTCAGGCGGGGAAAACCATGGGGCTCGCTGATGCCCTGCAGTGTCCGGTAGCAACTGAGCATGGCTGGCCTCTGCCCGATGGGTTTGGGAGTTCTTCTAACCTCTGAGGATTCTTCTTGCTTTCCTTTCGCTTCTCTTGCCTGCCTGGCATGTGACAAATAATAAAAATAAACGTGTTGACATTTAGAGAAATGAAATTAAATATAAAGAGAGAGTAGGAGGTGACTTAGCAGTTCAGAACGTGTCAGGTGCAGGCAGCTGAGGTGTGTGCAGGTTTTGCCCCGGCAGGCACATCCTTTCCCCCCCCCTCGCGGCAGATGCATACCCGCACACAGTAGCCTGAGAGGGGCTTGGCAGCTCTGGCCCTGCTGTTCTGCCTGATTGCTGCTGTCTGAGGAGAGGGAAGTGATGGAGATTCTCTCCTCTATCAGGAGATCTCTGCTCACACACTCCTCCTGGAAAACACTGTGCGGCTTGGAGGAAGAAAAGAGAGGGGAGCCTCTCTGCTGAAATGCTTTAAATGCAGAGATCGCTTCAGAAGAAGAGAGTGAACTATGGCATATGTATTATTTTTTAAATGAGGAATGTCCTTTTAAATAAGGATGGCTGAGTAAACATACATAAAATACTGCAACCCATTTCAGAGGACTAACACCTGGGATTAGCTGATCTGCATTGTGAATAATGTCAGCATCAGAGCCGGCTTGAATTGGATTTTCCCTGCCAGAACAGAGAATATCAGCTGCAAAAGAAACCAGGTGTCAGAGAAAAATGCAGTTTGAAATTTTCAAAAAGCCTTCTAAGAAACCATTGCAATTCTTCCTCGCCCCATGAAAATAAACCAGTAGGTGTGCCATGTACAACAGAGCCTGCCAGTTCCTGCTGGGAGCTCTGTCCCTTTATTACGTTTTTGAGCTATGTTAGAAAGAACTAGAACCAGGCTTTGTACCATCATCTGCATTAATAGGACCCTATAGCTTCACAGGTACTGATATTTCTGTAAATAAATTACAGTAAACCAAATAGCAGGATATGCAATATCTTAGGATACTTCCTAACAACTTATAATAATAATACATGCTCCTAAAATATTTGCAAGTTTTAGAATGGTAAGTAGTTTACATACAGATTAAACCATAAAAATGTGATCTGGTGTACGCATATACATTGGATTTAAGCTCAGCACTGCACGTTATGATGATTTCTCAGTAACTCCAAAATTACAGCAGCATTTCACTGCTAACACTGAACAGCGGCTCAAATGAAAAATTAATCACAAGTGTACACTATTGATCAACTTTATGATTTCACTTGTTATTATTAGTTGTCGTTTCTTATTATTCTGTTTGATTCCTTGCAGATTAGAAACAAAAATAATAGAAGAGTTCACCCCCTGGATCTTAGCCTTGGCCTTTTACAAGCGAGCAGAAGAGGAGCTGTCAGGCTGTGCATGTCAAATAGCCGCCCGGCTGTTTGACAGCTTCTGGGTTTCAACCCCATTGGGATTGAGGCAGCTCAGGAAGCCATGAGCGATGAGTCCTGTCGCCTGCTGACGCTGCTCCAGCACCATGGCAGGCATTCCGTGATCTGACAAGAGGATACGTCTTGGGGAGGCAGCACTGGGATCCGTAATTGGCTTCCTGGGAAACTACAGCTGGTGGATAGGATGTAAAAAGAGGTATACACACACTGGGATATTGCTACACTCTTGCTGAGCTCCTGGATCTGCTTGGAGGAGAGGATTTTGCCACCAGTCTTGTTTTTATATCTCCCGCTTTGGTAATGTTGGCTTTGGGGAAAATTTCTGCTGACTCACCCATGCCTAGACACCTTTCTCAAAACTTGGCTGATCAGTGAAGAACACCACCGACACCTTCTCCCCTCTGGCCCCCTCAGTGTTCCCCTCCATCCCACGGGGCCCCCGCAGCCCCCCCCGTCCCGTGGCGGGGGTGAGCACGCCTGAAGCTCCGAGTGTGGCCGGTGTCCAGCAAGATTTTACCCTGTCTGCCCCTGGGGCCCCAGCGCCGCCCCCCGCCGGCACTGCCGCCCCACTCGCTCGCCCCAGGCCGCGCAGGATGGGGGCGGCGCTGGTGCGGCGCGGGGGCTGCCTGCTGCTCTGGCTGGCCCTGCTGCTGGGCTGCTGGGCTGAGCTGGGCAGCGGGCTGGAGTTTCCAGGGGCCGAGGGGCAGTGGACCAGGTTCCCCAAGTGGAATGCCTGCTGCGAGAGCGAGATGAGCTTCAACATGAAGACGCGCAGCTCCAGTGGGCTGGTGCTCTACTTTGATGATGAGGGCTTCTGTGACTTCCTGGAGCTCATCCTTACCCAAGGTGGGCGGCTACAGCTCAGTTTCTCCATCTTCTGTGCTGAGCCTGCCACCTTGCTCTCTGATATGGCGGTCAACGACAACCTTTGGCATGCCGTGGTCATCCGCCGCCACTTCAAGAACACCACTCTGATCATTGACCGGGCTGAGGCGAAGTGGGTGGAGGTGAAGTCCAAGCGGCGGGACATGACTGTGTTCAGTGGCCTCTTCTTGGGGGGACTCCCGCCGGAGCTGCGGTCGGCGACTCTAAAGCTGACACTCTCCTCTGTCAAGGACCGGGAGCCCTTCAAGGGCTGGATAACAGATGTTCGGGTCAACTACACACAGACTTCGCCGGTGGAGAGCCAGGAGGTGCGGCTGGATGATGAGCAGAGCCGCCTGTGTGCTCGGGAGGATGTTTGCCTCAACGGAGGTGTCTGCTCGGTGCTCAACGACCAGGCTGTCTGCGACTGCTCCCAAACGGGCTTTCGGGGGAAGGACTGCAGTGAAGGTAAGGCACCATCTTAGCTTGCCCCACCACCCCCTTTGTGTAGTGGAGGGGATGGGTAGGAGGTCAGGCCTGCATGGAGTTTCATCTGTATGAGTGGGTCTCGCTCCCCTCCCCGCTGCCTCCCTGCTGCCTCCTCTCTTCCTGCCTTCCTCTCCCCACGTGTCTCTGTGGCAGACCATGGTGCCATCACTCCTCTGTTCTCTTCAGGGGCGAGCAGGGGGAGGAAGACATCATCTGGGTATCTTCTGATGGCAGGGTGAGATGTGGGGATGTCCTGGGATGGAGAAAGGACAGGGCCTCGGTGCCAGGTGCTTCCCAGCTGGGAGGGGATGGCCAGCATTTTACTTGAGGGTGAGGGTGGGCAAGCTTGCAATGAGCAGCTGCTGGCAATTAATTTTGGGAAAAGGGAAAACAACAAGGAGAAGTTTTGCCGGATGAAGTGCAAAGATGACCTGGGTTTATTTTTGTAGGGTAGCGGAGATCCAGAGTTTGTTTTGTTTTGATACCTACTTCTGGTCTGTTATTTGAATAAAATCAGTGATTTATTTGGGAATTCCTTAAACTGTTGCTGAGGAGGAAGATTAGACAGAGGATTATGATTTTACACATATGTGAATGGTATTGCTTTGTGATGTATTAGCCATTTACAGTGCTATTCTTAAAGAGAGAATACAAAAGGGGGAAGCATACACTCCATGACCGCAAAATTCCTAAGGAAGATAGAGCTTTGAAAAACAGCAATTTCCTGAGTCCCATCTGCAAATAAAGCACTGAGTAAAATATGGTTCGTATTCAGTGCCCATTGTTATTTGTGGTTGGAAGGATTGTGAACATTTAATGCAGATACATGCAGGATTCATATTATTATGCTAGTAAGTGTACCACTGCTTGAAGCTATGTAAGCATAGAGATTACCTGTGTTATGTACCTACAATGTAACTTACAGGTATACATATGAAATGAGACCAAATGTATCAAGTGAGAATGTAATGTTCATGTCAGAATTTGAGAGCAAAGACCTGAGTGTAAAATGTAAAAAGTAAATATCAATAAGATACTACGTAGGCCAAATGAAGGTCTTCCCTGAGTAGCTGCATGACGTTTATAGCTGAATAATTTTGTCATTTCTATCAGATTTCACCCATTTTAAAAAAGAAAACTTCATTTGTGACTGTGCTTTATTATGTAATACCTTCTGTCCTTAGTGTCAGTACCCAAAACACCACAGTCATTCTGCATCTTGTTTGCTTTATCAGTTGTTTATCTCTCATCTGCCATTTGTTAATAAAATCAAACCTTATAAACATCTTAAAATAAGTTTTAAGTAAGTAAAGGCCAAATGATAATTTAACAGAATAAGAAGTCTGTTTTTTCAATAACACACAGTCCCAGAAACAGTAAAATGAGGTATCTTCTATTTTATTCTAAATCATGTCAGTAAATTTAGTATTTGAGGGGGAATTTTTAATGCATAGTACTACTTAATATATAGGCGTACATAAAATATTGAGTTGTCTTTGCACCTTTGAGTTAGGTCTCATAAACTAAAAGCAAATTGTGAGCTGTAGCAGTTTGATTAAAGCAACAATAATCATTTATATATAATTATAAACCTATATACATTGAAAGTGTTTATTTAAAGTGATTTTGAACATATATTTATGTGAAAAGTTTGTATGATTGCATGTCAAATGAGGCAGAAAAAAATCTTATGTTTAAATAACAGAATTAATGAGATAATGAGCTATTTTTAAATAACATTTTTGTATTTAGATTGAATCTTCATGAAATAGTTTTTTATATATAAGCATGTATTGTATAGTGGTTGTAAGATGATTATACTGGAAATAATTTTAGAATCCACCAAATTAGAGTGAAATACTGGCTTCAATCAATTACAATGTTTTTAGAATTGACATCAGTGGGATCCCCCTCACACGTTCCGTGGCCACCAAGAAGCCTTATAAGATAGTAACAAGACATACTTTTTGCTTAGACTCATCCTGAAGTATTCAGCTTCTAATTTCATTTGAAATAGAAGACAGTGTTTTCACTGATACCAGTATAAATTGAATTTGTTTCTGTTGATCAAAAAAAAAGATAAGTTAAATTCAGATCAGTGAGGTTTGATGAAGGGATTAGTAACTACTTATGTGCTACCAAAGATATTGAACTGATTTGTAGTTAATAATTTAATCACTACTTATGTGCTACCAAAGATATTGAACTGATTTGTAATTAATAATTTAATCTTTTCAGAAATAAAAAAGTAGAAGTACAAGTGAAATGACCACATTTGTCAAGTAGGAAATCCTGGCTATTGTTACTTATTTCTTTATAGCCAGCACAGAAATTATGTTGTTGAGTTATGGCCTTTTGTTCCTGGAATGCGTAAATTTTCCCCAGCCCTTAATAAGAGGTTGCCATTGTTGAAGGATGAAGGATCATCTCAAACTGTGGTGATGTGAAGTGAGACTTTTGAGATTTTGCTCTTTGTCTTGTTTTAATTAGAAATGTTTTATATGTGGAAAAAATACCAAAGTGTCCATTTTTATCTGAAATCTTGACCATATGTCCTAGTTACTACCTTTTTCCTTCAAGGTGAAAGATTAAAATCCATTCTCTGTAAAGACCTATCTATCTACATTATGTATAAGCTTAGATTTTGTGTGCTTTTGTATTTCTGGCTGGGCACAGGGTTCAGTTTTAAGTGGTGTAATGAGCACTTCAGGAATCAATAATATTAAAAACAAACAAAAGAAAATCAACTTTTTCAAAAAATTTTAATCCTGACTTCCACATTTAAGAGATTAGAAAATAAATGTATAGACTTAATAGGTTTGAAGAGTCAATGGCCTCGAGCCTTTCAGGCCATAGGAAGCATTTTTTTATAGCATCTAAGTCTCCCTGCCCTTCTTCACCTTTGAAAATCTCATTAAGTTTTCTTGAAGTAAAATTTTCTCAGAAGAATAAAGTTTCACCAAGTATATTTGCTTTGAAAATCCCGTATTATTATAACTAGTATATAAAGTATTATATATCTGGATTGCTGCGTCCAGGCCTGGCGCTCCCAGCACAAGAAGGATGCAGAGCTCTTGGAGCAGATCCAGAAGACCACTGAGATGACCAGAGGGCTGGAGCACCTCTCCTATAAAGAAAGGTGGACAGAACTGGGCTTGCTTAGCATAGAGAAGAGAAGGCTGTGATGTGACCTCATTGTGGTCTTCCAATACTTGGAGGGAGCATATAAACAGGAAGGGGAATGGCTGTTTATGAGGGTGAATAGTGATAGGACAAGGGGGAATGGTTTTAAACTGAGACAGGGGAGGTTTAGTCATGGATTTAGGGATGTTAGGATGAAGTTATTCACTCAGAGGGTGGTGATGCACTGGAACAGGTTGCCCAAGGAGGTTGTGGATGCCTCATCCCTGGAGGCATTCAAGGCCAGGCTGGATTTGCCTCTGGGAAGCCTTGTCTGTTGGTTGGTGACCCTGCGCATAGCAGGGGGGTTGAAGCTGTGTGATCATTATGGTCCTTTTCAACGCAGGCCATTCTATGATTCTGTGATAACTTACTCCCAGTAGGCTTGACTGTCCTTTTGCCTCTCTAATTGAGAGTAGCTTCATTTATGTTATCCAAACTATATGGGAGTGAATTTAGGAAAGTATTGGATATATTGCATTCAGTCATGTTCTTAGTTCCAATAGTATCTAAACTCTCTTCAGTGGGAGATTTCATATGAATCACAGAATAAGGACTGGAGTTCTACTCGAATATTAAGGGCATGCTGTCTACAGCAGAGAAAAATACGACATGTAGCAGTACTGTTGTTGGCTGGGCTGAGTGCTTATAGATAAAGACAGCATGAGAGGCCTTCTAAAAAAGAATATCTCTAGTACTGAAACACACCAGGGAATATTATTTTTCGCAATAACTCAGCAGAAGGAAAAATACATAAAATTATGATAAATTTTGCTAGAAATAAGACTAGCGTTAAAATAAACCCCAATTGCCATACAAATTTTCTGATAAATTCTTTGACATACACCACAATCTTCTCAGTGAAAATTATATTATTCCATGAGAAAAATCAAATAGATATGGTGTGATTTTGCTAAAATAACTGTTAGTTAAGAAGACTGTTCTTAAGAATTAAATTAGTGAATTAAGTCAGAGTCCTAGAAGATAAGGAGAATACGTCTCCTACCAGTATTTTTTATTCCATTTTGTTTCTTATGTTTAAATTTCAGAACAAAAACAAGTATTACATTAATAAAATATTGACCTTCTGACTTTAGATGGAATTTATAATTTTTCTTTTTATTTTCATTCGTATTAAAATGATATAGTCCAGTATTCTGTCTGAGAAAATAGACAGATGCCTCTGGAGAAGGCAATGAAAACCATGTTACACGCTTTATTCTGGGAAATGTTTCTCACTGAACCCAGATTCTTGTCAATTCATGACCTTCTGTGGTTCTGTATCTGTGACTGTTTCAAGAAAATTACATGTGGGGTGATTTATCTTTCTAAAATGTAGCTGGGCTACTTGCCTCAATATTTGGTTGTTATAGAAACAATTACTCTGTGGATCCAAAGTGTTCTTGTTTAGAGCATGGTTTATTTTAACTGTCCTACTGAGTTTCTGTTTTGTGGAAAAAATGAGGGCTGTTCATGCAGCTGTTCACTGTAAGAGATACTCTTCCTTGTCAGATATTTAGAACTTGATGCCAGCTATGGTTTGAACTGTGAAAAGTTTTTTTGTTTTGTTTTCTTTTGTTTTTTTGGAAGTAAATTTCAGATGTCTCAGGCTAGCCAGCATTTAGATTTGTTTGTTTGGGTTCTGAATATATTACATCAATCTTTGTTGTGCATATTTGCTTCTTCATGTTAACTTTTAAAAAAAGTCATCCAATATTCATATCTTTCTGAAAATTTCCATATTATAATTCCTTCAATTCCCTTGTGTATTGAATAAAATATATAAACATCTTTGGGCA